GCAGTACCCAACGCTGTCGAGAAGTTGTAGCTCATCATGGACCCGTTCGCGTTGTCGAAGGCACATATTTGGCGGCGCCAAGTAGCATTGCGCGAAAAATCACTTGCCACGGGGAACAGCAAACACGCGAGGCGCTTGGAGTTTCTCCATGGACTCCTTCGCGCATGCGATCATGAGCACGTGCAAGGGTAAAAACCACATGAGACACAGGTTCATCTCCCCGTTGGCATCGGGAAATATTGCGCCGACCAGTGATGCATAAGCCAGTAAGCTGCGTGCGAAGAACCAACAGAAGAGGAAGACATGCGCGACGCTAGAGTGCGTCATGGGGTACACTGCGTCCTCGTTCGTCGAAGCCGCCCCTCCACCATCCTAGTGACATGGAGTTCGGAGAAAGCCATGACGAGATCTCGCCAATTGCTCAAAGTTCCTTGGGAACGGGAAATGGAAAGACTTGAACACCCCCTGTCGCTAGAGGCAACGTCCGGAGGTGCTTGACAAGTGCTTCGAAAGCCAATTTTGACATGTCTGGCGGCAAGCTGTTGTCGTTGATCAATGGCTGGAGAAAGTTGAGGAGTGTCGTTGCGATGTTGCGCTTGCAGGGACTTGGTAAACGTCAAGCGGGTCGGCAAACGAGGGCAAGGCAAACCTCGGCGCCAAGTCGACAAGGTGTACGATGGACTGACAGCCTCTGCAAAGTAATGCCGGGTGAAAGTCAGCGAGAACGAAGGGCCGGGTTGGGTTGTGGTGCACCACGTCCAACCTGCTGCTCCATGAAATCCAACCAATTGCCCCGCACGTCGCCTCTCATTGGAGCCGATGGTCTTTCCTCGGTGTACCCGACGGTCACACGTCGACCGGAGCAACTTCACGGCACGATCTCACAGCATGCCATTGTGAGGTGTCGCGTGAAAAGGAAGGCAGCCCGTCATGAATCAAAGATGGCTGGTCGTCGGTTAGGCTGTTGTCTGTGCTTTCATCGACTTTACTTGTGTGATGACTCGGGTGGAGCTAACCTTGGGGCCCTCGGTGACGACAGAAATGGCCAAAACCCACCACGACAAACCGCACGTCCATATCCATGTTTGGACTTGTCCCATGGACGACTCTACTACGAATGCAGTGCTCTTTCCGACCGCACACACCTCTAGTCCGAACACGACCACCCACTCGAAGACGCTACATGTCAACAACGTCCCTTCGATTGTTCGACCAAATCGCCACGAGTTTGATGCGCTTGATTCGGCTCGTGCACGCCACAGAATCCACTGACAGAATGCGTTGGACGTTAGCCATACGTGAATGACTCGCGCGATTTCGCAACGTGGCCCCGTGCACATTTCAAAAGTAGGTCCGGCTACGATCTGGCTTTGCCGCCGCCTCACAACGCCAGATTCGTTTGTCGTGGTCAGCGTACTCGCTTTGACACGGATCAGTCGATTCGGACGAAAATCTTGTCTGCCATCTTGTAGCTTTTCTTGTCTCCGTCGTCGTAAAACACCGCGTGCTCACGGGTCGCGGGGTTGTACGTGGCGACGCGCCCCAAATACCATTTTTCCTTGGCCCACTTGACCTTGACCCGATGGCCGACCAGTTGCATCGGGTCGTCGTCACTGTCGTACAACTCGTCCGAAAACGACGGCGCGGCGAGCAACGCACGAAGGCGCGGGACAAACTTGACAATCGACTTCTCCACGTTCTTGACAAGCGCCGGATGAGACGTTGCCACGTCGCGCCATCCACTCGTGGACCTTGGTTTGGTCAGCACTGTCTTTTGCGTTTGCAGCGACCCGTCGACGCCACGATGTGTGAGCAGCCACTTTTCCACCCACGACCAGCTGCGCTGGTGTTCGAATAGCCACGTGCCCACCTACCACACGAACCGTAAAGCACGTCGCGATACCACGACATGTTGGCCACATGCCGACGTAAGTACCTTTGAGATTCGTTTTGCCATGCGAAGCAACATGTCGATTGTGGTTTCCGTGGCTTTAAAGTACTTTTGCTGCGACGCCATGATGGCAATGAGCCTTGTCATGCCGCCGTCGACGCGCTCGTCGCAAAGAGAGTCCCCGATCGACAGCAGCACACGCAGCGTCCGAAAGTACGGCTTGAGTACGTGGTGGTCTTCCTCTTCAATCGCGTTCAGAACGTAATCCATCCATGCCATCGAAAAATCGCGCGATTCCCAGCACAGCGACGTGATCACGGACGACCACGGAATCGTTTCCGCACTGTACGCGTTCGCACGATGGGTCAAGAGACAAATCCAGCCGTGGGAAGACAGGATGTTGTCCGGTTCGTCCAGGACCACAGGGAGCCGAGTCGTCGACAGAATTGCAGACGTGCTGTCCGCCGAAACCACTTCCTCCCTGGGCGGGACATGTCGTAGGAGAAGGGCAAGGAGTTTGAACAAGTTTTCGTTGCCAGTCAAGACGTGGGGTGGAGGGGACGGGGCGAGAAACGCTTGGGCAAGACCACCCGGGTTGTGGAGCTCTTGCTTCTTAAAATCGCGAGCTGGCGGAGCTGTTTCGTCGCCAGTTAACATCATGCACACCAGTCGGTCCACCACGCAATGGCGCACCAAGAACTCACATGCGCCTGGTGCTTTTTGCGCAAATTCCAACAAGACAAGCGTGTACGAGTGGTCGCAGTCGAGAATCGATCGAAAGTGCGTCAACAAGCGCGCGACCATGGGCTGGCACTGCGCTACCGTACATGGTTCCATGGCTTTCAACGTAACTTCCACCACAAATTCGCGAACCAGCGCTTGGTCGTGCAGGATAAACACGTCCGAGAGCAAGGTCGGGTGCGACCCCAACGTCTGGACCCACCACGCGCAACCTTGTGGGTTATGGCCGCCGACAAAGGACAACACGAGCGCCTTCCATTCCAGCATGCGAGCCACTTCACGGCACTGCCATAACGTCCCAAACACATACGTGGCGGCAAACTGAAGCGCTTGGAACGTCAAACCGTCGTCAAACGTTCGGTCGTGGCACAGGTCGTAGGTAAAGGTTGTGCAGGCAACGTCTCCCACGTACTGCTTTCGCCAAAACGTTTGGTTCTCGGCGTTGATGGCTCGCCAAATGGCTGGATTCACTCGGGGCGTCGCAGTGTGGTGCTGGAGTCGACGCTTCAGTCGCGCCGATGCAGCCACGACCAGACTCGTTGCTACAAACGACAGCGATTTCGACACCTTCGCTGGAATAGTCGTTAACACTGGCTTTCGTCGGGTGTAGACAAGCATAAACGCGCTGTGGGTCTTCATGGACGCTGGCGTAGTCCCGGCCGTCGGGCTCTCGTCGAGCCCACCGAAGCACTCTTCGGCCAAATGGCGTGGGTCGAATGGCGTCACCACCGTGTCATTAAACTCATACCACGCTCCAGTCGGGTCTTTTAAGTACGCATAGTAGTGCCCCGAATGGGCGGTGCCCATGTGGATGATTGTCCCGCTCAGGTCGTATTGGTAGTACTCTGGCGCTCGCCATTCTATCGATGCGTTGGATGCGTCGATCGAGTGCAGTTGCCGCAGCGCTGCCTGTCCCTCCTTCGTGTACCTACGCACGACACACTTGGTCAAGCCAGCGACCACCTGCCATGCGCAATCCCTCGTCCGTACCGCCGCATGTCTAACTCAAACGGAAACTCGAAGCGATCGTGAACTTTGACCTGCTGCATGGTTTCAAAGTTGAATTCGAAGCGCTTGAGGTGTAATATGAGGCATTCCGGCAATGTCTGAATCGAAATGCGCTTGTGGGTGTCCATCGCGTGCCGTTCGCCGCGCGCATCATCGTCCCATGTATAGCTCACCTAGAGCCACAACATCCAGGTCGGTGGATGGATAACAATCATTGCACAAACAACACCGACCGTGTCGCCTTCCACCCAGCTGTCCAACGCTTCCGCCAGGGTCTTGCGGTCCCGCACCGCCACGGAAATGTAGTGGAACGGCTCAGTGCGTTCGCTGTACCTGTCGCCATCGGCCACCAATTCGTTGCTAAAGACACCCCCGAGAGCTCGGTGAAACTGGGCCTCGATCTTGCCCTGCTTGCCGTTGTTGAGCTCCGCCTCGAGCTGTTGCAAGAACGACGTCAAGAATTCGCTCGCGTCTTGCTGTAACTTGACGTTGACAGGGGCGCCGGTATTCGTCTTGAGCACGGACAGCAGTCCGATGGGGTTTACGTATGGGCGGGAGCTGCCCTGGAGGTGCGCGTACAGCGACTGGAGCTGAAACAGCACGGACGACTCGTCCGGACAATTCGCCGACAACACGAGTTGCTGAAACGGGGGAAATAGAAACCCCATTTGAACAACCGTGTTGAAATAGCACGTGCAGCCCAAGTTCTTGAGACCGACAAACGCGCCGCGAGTTTTTTGGGCGGTCGGTTTGGGGCTGGTTGCACTCGTCGACCCGACTTTCGACAGCAGTTTGTCCTTCTTTGGCGCTCTCGCATCAAACGAATGTTGCGGAATCATTCGGTTCAACACGAGCGGCAGCGCCACCTTGGGACTGACGTCGATACAGCGCAAGAGCAACTGAAAGGCCACGGACCGGGAGGTATTCGACCGGCACTTGACGATAGCCGTGGTCGACGCTGGAAACAAGCACTTGTCAAACACTTCGACAATCAAGGCCGTGATTACGTTTTCCGACATGACACGGGCGTCTTTGTTCTTCATCCAGAACAACATTGTGTGGAGCAATCCTTCGAGGACATGGTCAGCTGTCTCATCAGGCGTTGTCAAGTGCTGAAGTCGCGCCAACAGCCTCGCCATGGCGTCTGCGGGTTGCCACGTTATAACTGGATGGGGGATTGCTTTGTGCAACGTCGCCACGATGTCTCCGTACAAATAGAAGAAATCGCCGTGGCGGACCTGGCCATCGTACGTTGCCAAGAGCGTCATGCAAAAGTCAAACAAGGAGCTCCACGACGACGGATTCAACGTGCAGTTGCACACATTTTGGAGGGTTTTGACAGTTTCTCCCCGAACCTGGGAAGATGGGTGGTCCAGAGCCGCGAGGAGAACGGTGTGGACATGCGGGTGTGTCATGAATGCGTCGGCCATTGCTTGGGGCGGCGACGACTTGTCCACCACGACGACCAGTTGAAACAGCAACGACATGGCATGCACCAACGCTAGCTCACACACCTTGTCTTCGCGGTCCAGGAGCGGGGCCGGTGCATATGCGATCGAAAACTCGTCACATTCTGTTGCATTGCCCACGATGGTCGGGACGAATGAATTGGGAGTGTCCGAGCAGCAGGATTGAGATACCCCTGATTGTGTCTGGCTCGTCAAAATGGAGTGCGCAATGTTAAACACGTTGTTCAGCACCACCACCCATGGCAAATTTTGATCCGTGGCCACACGTTCAGGCCACTCGATTCGGTGGTTGCCTTGCTGGAGAGCGGCGTCCAACATGTCAAAGATTCGTGACCAACCATGCCACACTAATAGGTTCTTGGCACTGGACAACGCTGTCGCATGGTCGATCAAGACTTGGCGGACGTGAACAGCGACAACACTCGACAGAGTGTCAAGGGCCGGGTTGTTTTGAAGCTGAAAGATCAACGTTGGCAGCGACGAGTTGCGGAGGATTTCCTCCAACGAACGAGACGGCGACTTGGAGTGCGGCAGTCGAGAGAGCACTCGCCACACCGGGTCGCACACAGTCGGATCTTCTAGCATCTCGAGCAACGATGAGAGCCACGTCGACGTCAAATATTTCGCTACGGCCGACCAGTCGGCGGCAGCGTCGACCGGCAACATCCACTTGGCCGTCGTCATCTTTTTGTGTCCGATTGTGTCCAACTCGGGTTTCTTCAACACGATCACCTCCACGTACGCTCTTTTGTTGGACGGTTGTGGCTTGCCAAACACCCCCGCGTCTTCGAGCGTGACCATGTTGTGTTGCTGCACTGTGAGCTTGACTTTGGTGTCGGTGAGCATGCGGATGCCTTCGGCGAAATGGCCGACGTCGGCAGCGACTCGATCGCGCAACTCGGCTACCAGACACGATCGTGGGAGCGTGTAGTACAGCGGCGCACTCGTTCGACCGTCCTGCATCTTAATGTAAACCATGAGATCTTCCGACGGGACCGGCGCCGGTTGAAGCAACAGGTTTCCACCAACGTCGCTCGACCCACGCGGCTGCGCGTGAAACAAAAACATGGCCAGAAGCTCGAGCAGCCGCCGCGCGACGTTTGTGTTTGCTAGTGACGTTGCATCGTACACATGGGACATGCACCACACGCCAAATTGAAGCCACACGTCCCGTCGAGTGTGTTGTTGGCCGGACGCTGCGGCAAGCGTTGACGACGATAGGTGCAGCAACAGGTATACAATATACTGCTGTGCCCTCGACGCCACCGTCGCGTCGGTGCATGTGGTAGCGATCGACAGCAACGTGTCGTACGCGCACAAGTCCGTAAGTGGAACATCCACGGTGAACCCGTTCGCAACGTGGGCGTCCGTGAGATGCCGGTGAATCGCGCCGTTTACAAATCGAAACAACCGTTCGAAGCATGCGAACTCGTGCGCGTCCATCGCCATGCACTGCGTGAACTGAGTGGCCAGGATCGTCTCGACCGTGTCGTTGGTAAATGCGCCGTTGCTTATAAACTTGTCTGGCAACACGACTACGGCGGCGGCTTGCAACGCCTTGGTGGAGCTCTCTGGGCAGTTTGGGAGGACGCCCAAGAGCCACGCAAAGTATGCTTCCCGACGATGAAGGGTCTTGATCATGGTCGTAAACAGCGCCTCGATATGCGTCTGGTGCAGCACCAAGCCAGACTTGGTCAGGACGAACGACAGAAAGGCCAAACACGCGTCGACATAGCATGGCAGGACGGCCGAGACGACGTCCAGCAATTGGTATGTTGTCTCGAGTTCGTCAATGAATGGATGTAGAGGATGCAATTTGATAGCGTTCTTGATCGACGAAGCCTCCACCGCCGACGTCACCCCGCTCAGATCCATTTCGTCCGGAACAAAGTTTTCCATGACAGCTTGCAACACGCGCAGCGCGAGCTCGACGGGCACGACGTGTTGGCCCGACTTGGTCGTTTGCGCTGGGTCCATGGAAGGCGCCGACGCCAAAGCCCGCACGCACAGTTGAATGTACTGTTCGCGGGTATTCGTTGTTTGCCCAGCACCATGGTCGTGTCCTGTTTCAATACGATGCATTTCGTGAAGCAAGTTGGCAAATGCCGTGACAAACTCGCGATGCATGGGGTGGTCGGGCGCGTGCGTCGCGGCGGTCCACAGGAACTCAACTCCCATCGACGCGACTTTGTTCAGGGTGACCAAATCCACCGCAGCCGTCCGTGTCGAGTGCGCTTTGCCATTCGCGAGGCGTGTAATGCGCGTTAAAAAGTGTATCGTAAGCCCGTCGTACTCGTCGATCGAAATGGTGTCGTGGAGGAGGCGGGAAATCGCATCCAGCAGCTGGATTTGCATCGACGCCGCCAGTTGCAGCAGCATGTCGTACACGACCTTGCGACGCATCGTTTGCTTTCGGCCAAGGTGCCACAGCAGCGTCAAGTGCACTTCTGTCAATTGCCCGTGCTGGGATAAGAGCACAAGCAACGGCGTGCTACGTTTCCACACTTCGACGTGGGCGTCTCGAACGGACCGCGCCGTCGCCCCCGGTGGCATCGCGGTCGGGTCGCCCAAAATGAGCTCGATCACGTTGGCCTGGCGCAACCAGGCTGCAAAGACCGATGGCCGCAGCCATCGCGCCCTCGCAGCATTCGCTTCCACCGGAGTCGACGTGGTGGATGCCATTGGCGCAACCGACACAAAGGACGACGTTGTCTTTGTGATCAAAGATGAGAGCCGTTGGAACGACCCAATGCGCTTCTTGGCACTTGCCGACGCAGCGCCCGTCGCGGTGGACGAAACGTGGCTGTCGAGGTTCTGCGCCAGCGCGAGCCACTCGAGCATTTGGTTCATCCCTGTGAGCTGATGGGACAACGCAGGACAGCACAAGTATTGGTATGCCACGTTGATTCGAGTGAGTTCCAGACGTTCGACGAACGCAGAGTCCTCGGATGGATCGAGCCACGATGTGTACAGCGCGTCAATGCGATCGAGCACGGATTCGACGACGCGTTCGTGGTCGTGTTGGAGGTCGTCGGGGCTAACGTGATGGATGCGGTCAAACGAGGCGTGGAAAAATTCGGTCAGTCCGTCCACGTCGGTCTCTGTCGGGGTCAGGATTGGCTTCGCGTGGAGGAGGATGGCCAAGTACATGTCTAGCTCAGGGAGAGGTACCAGTCCCCCCTGCATGGCCGACTCCGCCTTTGGGCGCTTGACGCGGCGCAAGATCGCTCGAAGCCCACCCGCTTGAAAAAAGTACTCCACGTTCTCGACAAAGTACACGCTTCGGCAGGGCGACGACCTCAACGACCCATTCGACCCTGCCACCTGGTCATAGTAGATTGTGTGTTCCAGGTCATCGAGTCGTTCCCAGTGCGGCGCATGGCCGTCGGGCTGGTAGTACACACTGCATACGTCGTATCCGTTGCAGAGCAACTTGAGCAAAGCCACGACTGCGTATGGATACACGGACGGGGGAATCAACCCGGCATCGCCGAGGACCGCTGCGACCCAGTGCTTGATGCAGTGCTGAAGAAATGCCTGCATCGCGAGGGCTGTCTCGGCGTCTCGGCACGGAGCGGCCATGCACGTTTCGACGAAAGGTACCAAGCAGCTCGTAAAGTATGACGGCTGCATGTCAAAGAAGGACTCGTCCAACGTGTGGTGGATCGCATCAATGTCTGCCGGCACCAACAGGCGGCGCATCGACATCGCACGGAGCGTTGGGTACGCAGGTGAGAGGTACACGTTGGTGTGGGTGCCCAACGGGGCCACTCGTACCCGCACCTGGCTCGATTCGACGACGACTTCTTTGTGCGGCACCTTGAACTGTGGAACCAACAGGACGAGCGCTTGCGGCGGCAATAACCGCGAAGGAGTCACGCTCGTGTTGGCCTTGACTTGGGCAGCGCGCCAGTTCGGGATGGTCGCGCTTGCGCCGGCTGCGTCTAGGAGATCAACCCACGCCCCGACCGCAAACCGAGAAAGAACATGCGACATAGAGGTCGAGGCAGCCGAAGACATCGCATCAAAGTCATTGACTTCTTCAGCCGTGGCGCGCTTGAAACATAGTCGATGCGCTAGAGGGTGATGGACGGAAGAGTCTTTGCGGTCGGCCGACGAATCGTCAACGGCAACATCCACCCACTCAAAGTCTGGAAGGGACGGCACGATGGTCGACTCAGTTCCCTTTGTTTCGTACGGCATAGCGTCGTCGATGCGGAGCTGCTTGATCGGCAATGCTGAGTTTCCACCGGTCGAGAAGAGAAGGTAGAGAGTTGTGGACGGTGACGTCGTTGCGTCGTGTGATGTCGTCGTCGTTGGTCGAAGGATCGGTTTGGCAACCATGTCGTAGCCATCCATTCGGTGTGTGTGTATGAGCATCGACCGCACTGGTGGCAACGACTCTTGATCGGGTGCTTGCAACTTGTACCAGAGATACGTTTGTGGCGAGATTTCAGCGGCGGCTCCTTTTGGATTGGTCACGCGATGGTACCCTGGTGGCGCCAGCGCTTGTCCATATGTGACTTCGAAGCCCACGATCCACATGACCGTTCAGAGCTACGGATGACTGTGGCAGCAGAAGGGACCTGTGGCGATGCCGTGACCGCCGCTCCGATTGCCGAGTGCGAACGTTGCAAAACAAATGTTTTGAAAAAAGTTCATTTTCATTAAATTTTTATTCAATTTTGAAAATCGCAGCTTGATATCGTCAATGCTTTAGGGTTGAATTCGAAACCAGAAATTAATATATATGGAGCAATCTGTGTTCTCACCAACTTGACATGTTGAGACACATAGCATACAGTGCGCACAATAAGTATACGCCAGGAGGAAATTTCAGTCCCATGATGCCAATCAATTCGTCTTCTTATGCCAAGACGCGTCGCCTGCATTCGAAACTCAAAGCGTCGACAAATTGTGCTAAGAAGTCCCAGAACTACTAATGCATTAACGATTTTGGAATATTCAGTCGCAAACTGCTGCGCAATATTTATACGCCATGCGAGAAAACATGACAATTTCATGCTTATGCTGCAAAAATACCAATGTTAGTACTTAGTCATTGCACCATTGGCTTGAAGCACAGCTACACAACGTCTTGGCATGCTTTCAACCAGGCCATGGAGTGTTGAAAGTGGAATCTGCGACCAGGCCAACAAAATGGCCTCTTTCAGCTGGCTGACCGTTGAATATTGCCTACCATTCTCATACACCTTA